ACTCAAATTCTCAGCATAAAATTAAAACCACCCCAGCATCAAATTTGGGGTCAAATAGAGGTGGGCTTGTGTCTCAGTTTCATACAATGTCCAGCAGTGTGGTCTCAGAAAACAGGAACTCCTGAAGCCTTTGTTTGTATATCTGCCTACACTCATTTAGAGTTGGTACTGTTTTACACATACAGTGTCTGGCATGTAGAAGGAACTTAATCAGTGTTGAATGAAGGGGAGGCATTTTAAAATCCACATGAAAAAAAGGTTGTTCTGGCTGGAGCAGTGTTCACGCCTGTAATCCCAGCACTTTGGGAGGCCAAGGCAGGTGGATCACTTGAGGTCAGGAATTCGAGGTTAGCCTCACCAACATGGTGAAACCCCATCTCTACTGAAAATACAAAAATTAGCCAAGTGCGGTGGCGGGCTACTGTAATCCCAGCTACTTGGGAGGCTGAGGCACTTGAATGAGAATCACTTGAACTTGGGAGGCAGAAGTTGCAGTGAGCCAAGATTGTACTACTGTCTGGGCAATGGAGCGAGACTCTGTCTCAAAAGAAAAAAAAAGATTGTTCTTTTAAAAATATGCTAATCTACAATGTCAATTCTCTAGGCTTGACTTTTGCCTTTACTTTCTGATATGGTTTGGCTGTGTCCCCACCCAAATCTCATCTTGAATTGTAATCCCTATAAGCCCCACATATCAAAGGAAGGGGACTGGTGGGAGGTGATTGGATCATTGGGGCAGTTTTTTTCAGGCTGTTCTTGTGATAGTCAGTGAGTTCTCTTGAGATCTTATGAGGTTTGTTTTGTTTTGGGGACAGAGTCTTGCTCTGTCATCCAGGCTGGAGTGCAGTGGCATGATCTTGGCTGACTTTAGTACCCACCTCCTGGGTTCCAGCGATTCTCCTGCTCAGCCTCCTTAGTAGCTGGGATTACATGCACTTGCCACCACGCCTGGCTAATTTTTGTTATTTTTAGTAGAGGATGAGATTTCACCATGTTAGCCAGGCTTGTCTGGAACTCCTGACCTCAGGTGACCTACCTGCTGTGGCCTCCCAAAGTGCTAGGATTACAGGTATGAGCCACCATACCCAGCTGAGATCTGATGGTTTTATATGTGTTTGACAGTTGCTCCTTCACATGTTCACACTCTCTGTGTGGCCACCATGTAAGACGTGCCTGCTTCCCCTTCTGCTATGATTGTAAGTTTCCTGAGGCCTCCCCCAGCCATGTGGAACTATGAGTCAGTTAAACTTTTTCTTCCTTTCATAAATTACCTAACCTCAGGTATTTCTCAGAATCTGTGTGAAAATGGACTACTACCCTTTCTGATAATCATGCTTGAGGATTTGGGGAATTCAGACTACCTGGGATCAAATCATAGCCCCACCCTGAGCAGTCATGTGACCTTGGGAAAGTTACTTACCTTTCCCATCTCAACTTCTGTAAAATCTGTAAAATGAGATTGTTTCTGAGGGTTAAATGAACAGAGCACAGTGGGGACACTGTCAGGTACATACTGCTTGCCAGATATTGAGTATTCATCTTTATTGAGTTAGGACTGTGATACCCCACTTTATGGCTCTTGATTTTGTATGACAAAGTCATGGTTAGTGCTTTGTTAGTAAAAGAAAGAAAATCCGAAAGTCCCTGCCATGGAAGGAAGAAACAGAGGGGGGAGGGAGCAGATAAGCTTCAGCATTTCAGAGCTTGGAAGGACAAGTTAGACTTCTATTTCATGGAGAAGGAGGTGGAGGCAGGTTGGGTCCTAAGGTGTCATTCAAAACACACAGCCATAATGCTTTAGTGAGAGTAGAGCTTGGGTGCCAGGGATTGCTGTGGTCAAGTTGCAGACAAAAACTACCACTCATTGGAAGACAGGAGAGGAGCATCTCATTACAAACACAATCAACAAACAATTCACATGTATCTACATTCAGTCAGCAAATACAAGTTGTCCAACTTGGTTGCTAATGGGACCCACTCTACTGACAGAGGCTTCATATAGAACTCATAGGGTAAGATGGCTTCCAGTAACAAACCACTGGGTGCTTTTCTTAGGACTAAAAAGCTCAGGAATCTGGTGATGAATGAAAACCTCAGTCCCACTGGCACTACATGAGGAGCCAGGAGAGCAGCAGCATCATAGGCCACAGAGTGGGGCAGCCCAGGCAGGGGCATTCTGAGCTGTGGGGGAGGGCATTGTGGCAGTTAGGGTAGGGCATTGTGAGGTGTGGGGTGGGGCATTGTGAGTCACATGCCTGGATTCTCACCTGGGCCAATGGGCTTCAGTCTGTAATAACTGCAGAAGGAGGAGGAGTTCCTCTGTCTTTACTCTCTTCAGGCAGTTGTTGTGGTCTCTCAGCGCTTGTTGGGTTCACAACCTACTAAATAAGCCGGCTGGTCTTCACCTTCCTAGACAAGTCAACTCAGAGGAGGTGGCAGGGGCGAGTCTTGGCTCGAGTCCCAGCTGGGGCCAGGCTGTGGGGTGGGCAGGCGAGCAGCGGGTGATACCATCTCTGCAAGTGCAGCATAGCCTCAGCCTAGGGCAGCGGGAGTGTGTGGCCAATGCTGTGAGCAGAAGCACAGGTGGTGGCAGACAGGAATAGAGGCGCTCATGGGGAATGTACTGAGCTGTTGTGTGTACCCCAAGGTGGATGAGCACCAGGGGCCAGTTTCTCCCCATGAGTCTGAGATCTATGAGGCAGCAGCTGGGGACAGAATGGCAGGAGCACCAGTGAGTCCCATTGTAGCCCCTGCTGAAGTGACTTTTGAAGCTGGCGAGGACCTCCACGTGCACCACATCCATGACCAGGAGATGCGTGAAGGTAAGGAGGGGACCTGTGCCCTTGGCACAACTCTGGCTGCTGCTGTCCCCAGGGTCCCCTGGGAGGCATCCCCCACTTTGAGCTCCTTTTTGCTTGTAGCCAGCTTTCCCAGGGCTGGCCAGGAACAAAGGCTGGCTCTGCCTTGCGTTCCCATTCCCACCACTTAGTCTTTCTCCAGAGTCCACTCAGCTTCTTTTCTCCTCGCCTCCCAAATGCCCAGTTCTTCCTCCCTCATCTCATTCTCCCAGGCTGGCATGGGAGCATTTATTGATGGCTCTTCTTGTTGTCTGTAGCTCTATTTATTATCCTGTGGTTCTTTGATAAGTCTTCTTTGAAATATTCTGTCCCTTTTCTCAATAAAAACTCAAACATCCCAACTTTCCAGTACCCATCTTGTTCTTCCTTTGTACCTATCCGGATGGTACCTAAGTGGAGGATCCAGATAAGTGCCTATTTTTTTCCCCCTGTATTAAGGTAGCTAAATCTCAGGACAATTCATATTCATATATTTGGGGATTTCTTAAAATCAGAGTGGTGGTTGCCATGCGAGAGACTATATGGTATGCTTAATGGGCTGCTGTAAGTCACCTTGATAGAAGCTGCTTAGGTTCTTCTAACCATAATTTTATCACAGAAGAAAAGAAAATGGAAGGTACTTAAAGTAATTGTGAAAGGTGTGAAATGTCACAGCCAGGGCTGCAGAAAAATGGGTGTGTATGTGTGGGGGGGTTTCCCCAAAGCAGTTTACCCACGAGGCACTGATTACTTTAAAATTCTTACTGTGACACAAAACGTGTCTCCAGGTTTATTCTGGTGACTTAACAGACTTTATTTTCCTCCTTATTCTAAAAAAGAGGTGGGGATGGTTCGTGGTCAAAACTTTCAAAAGACATGAAATGTCAATGTAGGCTTTTAATGTGTAAGATAAAGATTGAGGGTTAAAATGCCAGACCTTGCCTGTGTAAGAGTGTTTGCTGCCATGGCTTTCCCTTTGTCCTTCCCCCTCCTGACAATAGCATCTTGTTCAAAGATAAGAAAGTTGAAGTTTTTCAGTCTGTACACTGCTGGGAGAGGCAGGGGCCTGGAAGGGGGTCGAAAAGAGAAAACAATCAGTTGGTTTGCTTGTAAAATTTTGCAAAGATAGGAATCTAGGTAAAAATAATTCTGGGTGACAATATGGTTCTTGAATAAAAATTAGAATTTTAAAAATAGAAAACATTGTATCACAAAGATATTAAATCCAGTTGGCTCATTGGTTTCATTTAAATGCCATTACCGTAGAGGAAATGTTTTATAGCTTTTCTATTTAAACTTTGGGCTCTCAATTTATTAAGAGGTAGGATAACTAAGACTCATGATGAAATGACTTTGTAACTTGGAAGTACTATACTCACCTTTCAAGATATTTAAGGATTTCCTTTAGCATAAACAAATATTATTATGAGAATGAATTGATTATACCTTTATACACAAAGCATATAAGTACTTGTGTAAACTTATACTCTGGTTGATAGATGGGTAGTGTTGGATGAGAGCCCAAAAACAAGGCTCTTTATTGTTATTCTTTAGGGTTACAATAAGTTTATGTATGTCTCATTTGGCCCTTTCCAATACAAATAAGGCCTGTGTATGTTCTCTGTATGTATTGCTAATGAAGAAGATATAGAGATCTCACATGACTATGGAAGATAGCTACTCAACAGAACTAAGGTTCTGTGTCTTCAGAATGACATGGAAGTGACATATATGTTGAATTGACTTTTTAAAAATTTTTAAAACTTCAGAATGTGTGTCTTTTATTTTGCTTATAAAATAGACCTGTCTTTTAAAACATACCGCCATCTTGATTTATTTTATGCAAAGTTGATTTTACACAACTCAAAGGGAACAGTTACCCCTTCATTTTTTCTTGTTAAATAAAGGAGGGTCTCACTGTGTTACTCATGCTGGCCTCAAATTCCTGACCTGGATTCAAGGGATTTTCTTGTCTCAGCCTCCTGAGTAGCTGGGACGACAGGCATACGCCATCTTGTCTGGCTCCATCTTATGTCTATACAGTCATTTCAATAGATAAGAATAAAGATAGAGGTAGTTAAATGGCCTAAATACAGCAGTCCAAGAAATGAGTTGATAAACTGTTATAAGTGATCACATCTTTTTTCGTTTCTCCCTCTATAGATATGGCTTTGGAGTCCGACCCTTCTAACCATCCAGAAGCAAGGAAATCTCAAACAGATGGTGAGACAATGTTGTTTTTTCTGCCAAGAAAGAGTGAAAACTCTTGTTTGATCAGATGTATTATAGAAAGTATTTAGAAAAACTCATATTGGTTTAAATTTTTCATATTCAGTTGTTATTTTAACATGTGGTGTACTTTCCTTTAGTTGTTACTATGTTAATGAAATATGTAAACTTTTTGTTTAAATATTTTGCCATCTTTTTATCAACATAAGTTGTTGTGTGATGGAGGAGTCTTAGATTTATCTTTATGTATAATTCTTTGTCCCTTTTCCTGTGCTCCAAAGAGTACATTTTAAAGATGAATGATAGAACTTAGGCTTCAGCTTGGTTTTCATTTAAATAAATAATAAAACATAGTTGTTCATTGTCAGGGATTGAATCTATGATTTTAGCCTCCTCTGACACAGTCCTCTGACCACATGTGTTTATCAAATCCATGTTTATGTTATTCGAAACTTTTAAGTTATTAACCTTTTCATTTGATGTGATGTAAATTTAAACACGTTCTATTCCTGCTTATTTTCCTTAATGTTATGTGAAATCCTGGTTTGTTTGCTAAAAAGCCATACACAGCCAGGTTTTCCAGTTGATTTAAGCAGCAAGAATACAAGTGAGGATCTATAATCATATGTGAATGTTATTTACTGTAATGCAGCACTGTCAAATATGGCAGTTTGTAACTTTTGTTTTTGTAGTTTGAGTAGACTTCACCTCTCTTGAGTTGGTTATTTCTGGCTAGAATTTTTGTTCATTTTTGCATTACTATAAAGATTTACCTAAGGCTGGGTAATTTATAAGAAAAAGAGGTTTAATTGGCTCATAGATGTTCAGGCTGTATAAGCATGGCTTCAGCATTTGCTTCCAGTGAGGGCCTCCGCAAGCTTACAATCATGATGGAAGACAAAGGGGAAGCAGGTAGTTCCACACTGTGAGAGAGGGAGGAGAGGAGGGTAGGGGGAAGGTTTCACAGTCTTTGAAACTACCAGGATGAGAATTTGCTTCTTACTCTTACTCTAGGGATGGCACCAAGCCATTCATAAGGAATCCACCATCATTACCCAAACACCTCTCACTAGGCCCTGTCTCCAAGATAAAGGGTCACATTTTAACATGAGATTTGGAGAGGGAAACATGTCCAAACCAAATAAGAATTGTATTTCCCAGTTCCGTTCAGAGCCCTGGGCTTCTCACACCTAGAGAGCATGGAAGCGGAAAAAAGAAAAGCTATTCCATGTTAGTAGATGACCAGTAAGTGTGGTTGGATATGCTTAGCAGGAGTCTGGTGCATCTAGAGATAGGTGCCAGGCCAGGAAGTAGTTCTTAGAGCTGTTAGCTGTTAGATTCTGGTAATTAAGCTATAGGTAAATGCAAAATGGGAGAATCCTAATGGATCATGGCTCATATATGCAACAGGTAAACTTTTTTGTTAGCTAAATTTTTCATCTGGCCTAATTTTTTTGCCCTTTTCTTTTGTACATGAGTATTGTTTCATTCATATATAACAAAGATAAAAAGTAAACTAGGTCAAAAAGTAAATCTAAGTTTTTAGGTTTTACTTTATGAGATTTATCATGCCAGACAGTTTAAATTATAAATTGTTGCAAATAATTTTTTGAAATGGAATTTTATCTCATTTTATATAGGAGTAGTCAGTAAGATGTTAACAACTACTTTTACTTTATATTATTTGTGTCAGAAGTGACCGGTTTATTTTTTCATTCTTAGTGCACGAAAAAAGACAAAGCAGCTATGCAAACCATGTAAGTAAACACTAATGAAGGTGAGAAATTGATAGTTTGATGTAAAAGTATCTCTCTCTTGAGTCCTTTAAATTATAATTGGGACCCAGTGGTGACAGCATGGACCTCTTTTTGTGTATTTTCTAAATCTCTTCTACTTTCCTACATATCAAATTTGTCCAGAAAAGTCTTCAGCTTAGTGTGCCCACCTTTTAAGGGTTTCTGACATTTAAGTTAAATTTCAATAGTCTTGTTGTGGTATAAAGATCTGCTTTAAATATTTAATCTTATTTTTCATGAAATAACAAAAATAGAAGAGCTAAGTTAATTGTCATCACTGTGTATTGGTTTTCTGCCACAGCAGGTGAAAGCATACCTTCCCTGCTACACCATGACCTTATTTTTCTCCCTCTGTTTCTTTCAATCGTAGCACACTTTTGAATTAAATCAGTAACATTGACATGATTGTCACTATCCAAGTATTATTCACTGCTAAATCATATGGTGTTTTCACTGTGTCTCTGCATTACATGTTCCTTCGTTTGTTCTCTGAAATAGTTCTGAAATTTGAGCACTTCTGCACTTCTTCTGGATCATCTCTTTTTTCCTAGTCTATGCTGGTTTATCCAGCAGTAAGTAGCCTCGGGGTGGTCTGTCACTTTGTTAAAAAATTATTTTAATAATTATTATTAAATTATATTTTACATATAATTTACATCTCACATCCATGATTTTTTAGCATGAAGCTAATTTTCTGACTATATTCATTGGCCTGTTTTCTACCAGCTGTTTTCCCGCCCAAGTGTTGTAGCATTTATCACATGCCTTTCAAAGATATTTCCCATCTGCTAAAACATATCTGTTCCTCTTTTATTTTTGGTACGGGTGGGCAACTTTCTTTGGCCTTTTGTCATTCTAGTTCAAGATAGAGCGGCTTTCCCTAGACATGCTCAATGTCTGCTTTTCTGTGCTATCTCTTTAAAGTCTTTTTAATCTCACATAACTGCTGCCTTGTGTGGGATCGCCTGAGTCCTAGATTCTGTGTTTCCTTCTGTCCTGTTATCCTTTCTAGTTGTACTTGAGCACGTTTTCCTGGACAGAGATGTTTAGAGATCTGGCCAGTCTTAAAATCCTTCTTGATAGAGAATAAACTTCTAGATTGAATCTAAATTTTACGGTTCTGAAGATATTCTGCAATTGTGTTCTCATTATAGTGTTGTTCTTGAATCTATTGCCATCACGTGATACATTATTTATAACTGGGTTTTATGTATCTGTGGAAGCTGTTTAGGAGCTTTACTGTCTCTGAGATTCTGAAATTTCATAATAATATCTTGGTGGGGATCTTTTCATTTTATTGAGGCTACTAAGTCTGCAGACTGTCTCTCTCTGAGAATGTTTTTATTTTCTCTGTTACTTTTTTTCGGACAGTCTTGTTACTCAGACACTAGACTGCTTAGACAAGTATATCTGCATTGGTTTAAAATTTTTCCCCTTCTGTTTTTTTCAGTTTGTCTTTTTATTCTACTTCTGGGATATTCTGTGAGTTTATCCTCTACTATGTCTATTGAATTTTTATATTTTTTAGGGTGTTTTAAGATTTTATTTTAAAGTTTTGTTCCTGATTTTGACTGGTCCTGTGAAACTTTTTTTTGTTATTTCAATCTCTCTTGTTGGAGGCTTTTCTACAATGTGTGGTGGTCCCTGGCTTACTTGATTTGAAAGTATGACTTGTGTTAACTGATGGCACCAGTGTGAGGTTTTGGAAGCCAAACTAGCTTTTCATTTGGGGGACCTCAGTGTATTATCTGGGGACCTTTATTCGAGACAGTTCAGTTTCTTGAGAAGGATCTCCCAAGTTTCTGCCTGGAAAGTAAAAGCATGGCTACTTGCTTTCCAAAAGCAGAGTTAGGGAAGAAAGTTGGAGTTCCATTTTTGGTATACAGTTTTGTTTATATCTCAGGTTTAGGCCATGGTAGCCATGAGCCAGAAATTCTCAGGTTTGGTATATTCAGGGAACACACATCTAAGTTTCTTATCAGATGGGAGGACAGGTGGACTTGGGGCTCTAATCACAGATTTTCAACTGACCTTGATGGCTTTTGCCCTACTTTTTACATTTTACCCTACTTTTCAAAGTGCTATTTGCCGTGAAATTCACAGCCTGCCTTTAGCTCTGCAAGAGAAACTGCTCACTTCTGTTCCAGTCACTTTCTTTTTCTGTTTTTCTTATTTATTTAAGACCTATATTTAAGTGTAAATCAAAGTTTAATTTCAATATCATTAATGATATTTACCAAGACAGCTCTTTAGTGATGTATCTATAATAAGCATATTACAGTTTTCTTCTAAGGCCTTGTTTAATATTTTCATTCAAACTTTATACACTGTCATATTATCCCATTACTTGACAACATAGATGGAGCTGTTTTCGTGAATGCTCACTGTGTTAGAAATATTTAAGTTAATTAAGATTTGCTTATTTTTAGCTTGGTCAGCATAGCAAGGCCTCATCTCCTCAAAAAGGTGAACTAAGAAATTAGTCAAGCATGGTGGCATATGCTTTTAGTTTTACCTACTGAGGTGGCTGAGGCAGAGGATTGCTTGAGCTCAGGAGTTTGAGGCTGCAGTTAACTATCATTGCACCACTGCCCTCCAGCCTGGGCAACAAAGTGAGACCCTATCTCAGAAAAAGGAAAAGAGTTACTAATTGTTTGAAAACATACCTGAAATTTGTTCTGCCAAAAAGCAGAGAGAAAAATATAACCTTTGGCTTTTATTTTATTTTTTTTATGTTTGCTGAGAAGAATGCTGTACTTTATTTATTTTTCATTTCTTTTTGGAGGAACAGGTGGTATTTGGTTACCTGAGTAAGCTCTTTAGTGATGATTTGTGAGATTTTGGTGCACCCATCATCTGAGCAGCATCCACTGAACCTGATTTGTAGTCTTTTATCCCTTACCCTTTTCCCATACTTTCCCCCGAGTCTCCAAAGTCCACTGTATCATTCTTATGCCTTTGCATCGTCATTGCTTAGCTCCCACATATGAATGAGAACATGCAATGTTTTTCATTCCTGAGTGACTTCACTTAGAATAACAGTCTCCAATTTCATCCAGGTTGCTGGGAATGGAATGCCATGAATGTATTCAATATTATGGCCGAGTGGTATTCCATCATATATATGTATATGTATATCACAGTTTCTTTATTCACGTGTTGATTGATCGGCATTTGGGCTGGTTCCATATTTTGTAATTGTAATTTGTAAATTGTAATTTGCTGGAGTTCCTTGTAGATTCTGGATAATAGCTCTTTGTCAGATGTGTAGACTGTGAAGACTTTCTCCCACTCTGTGGGTTGTCTGTTTACTCTGCTGATTGTTCCTTTTCCTGTGCAGAAGCTCTTTAGTTAAGTCTCACTTGTTTGTTTTTGTTGCATTTGCTTTTGAGTTCTTGGTGATGAAGTCTTTGCCTAAGCCAGGGTCAAGAAGGGCTTTTCCAATGTTATCATCTAGAATTTCTGTGGTTTTAGGTCATAGATTTATGTCCGTGATCCATCTTGAGTTGATTTTTCTGTAAGGTGAGAGTTGAGGATCCAGTTTCATTCTCCTGCACGTGGCTTGCCAATTATCCCAGCACCATTGGTTGACTAAGGTTTACTTTTTTCACTTAATGTTTTAGTTGGCTTTGTTGAAGATCAGTTGGCTATAGGTATTTGGCTTAATTTCTGGGTTCTCTATTCTGTTTCATTGGTGTATGTGCCTGTTTTTATACCAGTTCCATGCTGTTTTGGTGACTATGGCGTTCTAGTATAGTTTGAAATCAGGTTAGGTGATGCCTCAAGATTTGTTGTTTTTGCATAGTTTTGTTTTGGCTATGTGGGGTCTTGTTTGGTCCCATATGAGTTTAGGATTGTTTTTTCTAGTTCTGTGAAGAAGGATGGTGGTATTTTGATGGGAATTTCATTGAATTTGTAGATTGCTTTTGGCAGTATGGCCATTTTCACAATATTCATTGTATCCATTCATGGGTATTGTATGTCTTTCCATTTGTTTGTGTCCATTATTTCATTCAGCAATGTTTGTAGTTCCCACCAGCATGTGAAAAAGATAATCCACCATGATGAAATTGGTTCTATACAAGGGATACAGGGATGATTTAACACACACAGGTCAATAAATGTGATACACCACATAAACAGAATTCAAAACAAAAACCACGTGATTGTCTCAATAGATGCAGAAAAAGCATTTGACAAAATCTAGCCTCCTTTTATGATTAAAACTCTCAGCAAAATTGGCATACAAGGATTATAGCTCAATGTAATAAAAGCTGTCTATGAGAAACCCACAGCCAACATAATACTGAATGGGAAAGAGTTGAATGCATTCCCCTTGAGAACTGGAAGAAGACAAAGATGCCCCACTCTCACCACTTCTGTTCAGCTTAATACTGGAAGACCTTAATACTGGAAGACAGAGCAATCACACAAGAGAAGGAAATAAAGGGCATCCACATCAGTAAATAGGAATTCAAACTGTTGCTGTTTGTTGATGATATGATTGTATTCCTAGAAAACCCTAAAGACTCCTCCAAAAAGCTCCTAGAACTGATACATGAATTTAACAAAGTTTCAGGAGATGAAATTAATGTACACAAATCAGTAGCTCTGTTATACCCTAACAGCAGCCACGCTGAGAATCAGACCAAGAACACAGCCCCTTTTATAATAGCTGCAAAAGTAAAATAAAATACTTAGGAAAGGACCTAACCAAGGAGGTGATAGACCTTTACAAGGAAAACAACTTTAGTATTTTTCATGGGTTAAAATGAGAGGCAGCAGGTATAGTGGAAGAAGTCAGTGGCTGGGCATTGGCATCCAATGGGTCCTGGACCTTTGATAGTAAGCCTTTGGTTTGACTTACTAAATTACAGGTGTAATTATTTTCTAGTTTTTGTTATTAAACTTCTATGTAACCCCTTCTATTTCTTGTTAAAGATCATAAAATTTCACCCTCTGATTTATGCTGACTGAAGTTAGATGATTTGTTTCTTTTTGTGATTGCCTTAAATAATACCTATGAACAGTAAACTGTTAGTAGTGTTTTTGGTGTAATTAAATGTAGTAAGACTGAATGAATTTGTCAAACACTTGTCGAAGTTTTTGATTTATTCAGAATTCTGTGCTCAGCAGCTAGAGATAGGAAGAGTAAGAGCCCTCCCTTACTCTTACGGAGAGGCATACTTTCTCATGAGGGGAATACTCTGCAAGTATTTCCTTGCTCAGGTGATGGGTACACCAAAGTCTCACAAATCATCACTGAAGAACTTACTTTTATAACCAAATACCACCTGTCCCTCTAAAACCTATGCAAATAAAAAAATTTTAGTATCTTGTAATCAGTGGTGAATTTGACTAATTAGTGGGCAAAGAAACCGTTTTTGGTGTGGCTGCTGTCAAAGAGATCGATCCAAGAGGGTAGATGGAGTCAAGTTTGCTGAAACAAGGAAAGAGAAAGGCAGTAGGCAGAGAGCAGGGGTATAGCAGGAAAATGCCTAGGTGCAGGTCAGATGATTTACAGAATGAAATTAATCAAGTTTTGAAATGAATGGTAAGTGTTCTCTGGGAGTCTCATTTGAGTCATGTCATGGCAGTCTCATTTAAACATGAAGGAAAAGTTAAATTTTTTAAGTTGTCATCTGTTTTCAGGGTGTGAGAGAATATTTAAGTAATACTTTTTTATATCCTCCACATAAGAAAACAGGACTAGAGAAACCTATGGCTTCCTCACTTGGTGGCCCAGCAGCCCTGGCACATAGAGCCTCTGAATCTGAAACACCTATTTTGTCACAATATCACCTGCAATAATACAGTTAGGACTAGTAACTTAGTAAATGCATTAGTTTTGTATTCATTGCAATGAAATGCTCCTGTACCAGTATGATTTAATATGTTACATTTTATCATAGTAAATAAATAGAAATTCTCAGCTGCTTTATGTCACTGTTGAAAAAACAGTGAAATCTTATTCATAAAATCCTTGTTAGGTTTGATGACAGGTACCATATTAAGAGCAGCATTTTATAACCCATATCTCAAACATCATCTCTGGAAGTTAAGAGCCTCCAACGGGTTTTCTGTAGAGTGCACATGATACCACACTCAGGCAGTTCATGGAGTGTAAGGAATATCTTAGGGCTTTGTCATTTGACATTTTAACTGAGAAAAAAATACACTTTGATAAGTTTACCATATACTTCCCTTCCTCTTCAGGTTTCTACTGAGCATTTACCTCAATTATATAGTTCATGCTCCACCATATTCATTGATGACAGCACAGCCAGCCACCCTCATCTTACAATGACACTAAACTCGTGAGTACACCTGTACTGCCAAGGGACAGACTCGTTTATTCTAAAGTTATTTCAGCCATTTGGTTGTCCTCTTCAATCACTTTTAAGAAATTGGAGTCAACTATATATTGATATCCAGATTCTAAATATTAAACATCAATTTCTCTTTTAATCTTAGACATCGTGGTGGAAGGAAAATCAGTTAGCAAATAAGCAATTTCAGAAAAAGTGTAGCTATTTATTTGATGCCTTTGTACCTTAAGACAATGTTGAGTGCAGTGAGAAGGATAGGTTCCCTTTATTGAATTTTTTTTTGTGTGCGAAGAATTAGTTTGTTTAATGAGTTGTAGGCCTAAATCAACATGTACTACTTTGGACATTAGTCTTGGAGGAAGGAACAGCTTTTTCTCTTCTGGCACCACAGTATATCAACATTTGAATTTCTCCCATTGTGCATGAGCACCTCATGGGCCACAAAGATGCACTTTGAGAGCACCCTGAAATGAAGTTTATTTGAAAAGGAACAACCACCAACACCACCACCACAGGGGCTGTCCAGTGTACATTATTATCATCTCCTTGGGTCATGAGTGTTGATTTTTAGAACATAGTTTGGAAAGTGCTAATTTAGAGTATTAATGTCTTTATTTTTAATTTTACTTTTAATTCTAGAAACATAACTACTTAGCTTATAAACAATTTTGTTTAGAATGCGCTAGCCTTTTTAGCTAATTTGATTGTCGGTAACTTTTACTTTAATTAAAAATTGGAAGTTTACACTTGTAATAATGCCACTTTCCTCTCTCCCTTATAACAATAGTTGAGATGAAATTGTGTTTCAGCAAAAACTGGGCTCGAAGTCTGTCTCAGGCTCTGAGCTTTGGGACCTATTGAGTAGTCACTAAATGTCTGTAGTCAGCCAAGTCTATTCAATCTTTTTATTTATTTGTTTTTCAGATGGAGTTTTGCTCTTGTTGCCTAGGCTGGAGTGCAATGGCGCTACCTCAGCTCACCACAATCTCCCATGTTCAAGCGTTTCTCCTGCCTCAGCCTCCTGAGTAACTGAGATTATAGGCATGCACCACCATGCCTGGCTGATTTTGTATTTTTTTTTTTTTAGTAGAGATGGGGTCTCTCCATGTTGGTCAGGCTGGTCTCGAACTCCTGACCTCAGGTGACCCACCCACCTCGGCCTTCCAAAGTGCTGGGATCACCACATCACCTGGCTGTCTCTTAAATCTTCGAGCAGGAAAACAAACAAACGAACAAACTACTTCGACTGGAGTCCCTGCTTTCTTTCGAATTCAAAAGATTTTGATGTGTTAGCATACCATTCAAAAGCAGCTTTTAAGGTTAATCTTGCTCAAATAAATTTCATGCTTTTTTCCTCATTATTCTAATTTTTAGAAGTCTACTTTCAAAAGCAAAGTAAGTTTTAACTTGCCATCAGCAAGTTAAATTTTTTAAAAAAATATTTACAATTGGTGAAATAGAGGTTTATTGAGCAAATTAATAGGGCAAATTGGCTTCAAGAAAAGATTTTGGAAAATATCATGAGTTAGTAGTGCACTGTTATCAGTGGGATAGATGGAACTCACTAGGGATCACTTTTACAAAGTTTTTCTACAAAATACATGTCTGCAAACACATGCATCTTCCCATCTCCACTTTTCCTCCATCCCTAGGCACTGAGAAGCTTTTAGGAAAATAGGGATCGATGTGAGGCATCTTCATGTAAAGAAAAGCATGCCATAAGATTCTGATTTTCACCCCAACTCAATCATTCCAAATTTTCCTGTGCATTGAAATCACCTGGGAAACTTTTAACAACAACCCTCGATGTCCAAAGTTATATCCAATGCTAATTAAATCAAAATGTCTTATTTTTAAAATGAGGCAATTATTGAAGCTTCTCAGGTGATTTTAATGTGCAGCAAAATTTGAGAGCCACTGCCTAATTTGAGTTTAGGATGAGAAACTGCTCCTATTTGGTGGGACCTTGGGCAAGTCAGTTTTTTAAGATTTGTTTCCCTGATCTGTGAAATGAGTGTTGGATTAAATGTCATGTATGGTCATTGGTCCTTTCCAGCATATACCTTCAAATTCTGTGATTATAAAATTATTTCAAGGCCGGGTGTGGTGTCTCACACCTGTAATCCCAGCATTTTGGGAGGCCAAGGTGGGTGGATCATGAAGTCAGGAGTTCGAGACCAGTCTGGCCAACATAGTGAAACCCTGTCTCTACTAAAAATACAAAAAATTAGCTGGGCATGGTGACAAATGCCTGTAATTTCAGCTACTCAGGAGGCTGAGTCAGGAGAATCTCGTGAACCCAGGAGTCAGAGGTTGCAGTGAGCTGAGATTCCGCCGTTGCACTCCAGCCTGGATGAAGGTTCAAGACTCCGTCTCTAAAAAAAAAAAGTTATTTCAGAGATGAAAACTACTGGAAGTAGTTTTAAATGCTTAAATGCTAATGTTGCAGGCATTTTGAAAAGTGCTAATATTATATAGACCTATTAATAAATTGAGATTTGCCTTCCCTCAGTTATTTTGAGCCGCATTCTATATGCTGAGGGCAAATGGAAGCACATAACTTATCTAAGAGATGCTCTTGTTTTGTGATACACAGCATCTGTGGGTAACTTAGAAATACAGTTACATATATCTGAAGAGCTGTATCTGTTCATAAATATTTCAGTTAAACTAATTGAAGGTACCTGCCATTCATATTACACTGTGTCATGTTACACAGCCTTGTTAGCACTGCTTATTTTAGGATCACTGTACCTATCATTGATACTGTGTGAGCTTATGTTTACTAATATATTTTCTAATAATTATGCAACAGAGATTTCAAATAACTTTTATTTGTTAGAAAGCACTTTCATTATGTGATACATTTTTAGGGAAATCATAATAAAAAATGGGTAGGTAGGAGATAAGGAACTAAACTAAAATGCAGGGCCTAACATCTTAAAAAAGAAACCACTACTTTGTGGCTGAAATTTAAGCATATGTACACATAGATATAAATTGCATTAGCCGGGCGCGGTGGCTCAAACCTGTAATCCCAGCACTTTGGGAGGCCGAGGCGGGTGGATCACGAGGTCAAGAGATCGAGACCATCCTGGTCAACACGGTGAAACCCCGTCTCTACTAAAAATACAAAACATTAGCTGGGCATGGTGGCGCTTGCCTGTAATCCCAGCTACTCAGGAGGCTGAGGCAGGAGAATTGCCTGAGCCCAGGAGGCGGAGGTTGCGGTGAGCCGAGATCGTGCCATTGCACTCCAGCCTGGGTAACAAGAGTGAAACTCCGTCTCAAAAAAAAAAATAAATAAAAAAAAATAAATAAAATAAATTGCATGAGGCTGGGTGTGGCGGCTCACGCCTGTAATCCCAGCAATTTGGGAAGCTGAGGCAGGGTGATCAATTGAGGTCAGGAGTTTGAGACCAACCTGACCATCATGATGAAACCCTGTCCCTGCTAAAAATATAAAAATTATCCGGGCATAGTGGTGGAAACCTGTAGTCTCAGCTACTTGGGAGGCTGAGGCATGAGAATTGCTTGAACCCTGGAGGTGGAGGTTGTGGTGAGCCAAGATCACGCCACTGCACTCCAGTCTGGGCACCAGAGTGAGACTCTGAGTCAAAAAATAAATACATACATAAAATAAATTGCATGGGACGAAAGGTCTTGTGGGTAGAAGAGCATATAACAGGGAAATATTATTTATATATTATAATAATCAACAGAAACACATCTTCTAACAGCATATCGCCTTGCATTTTGGTTTTCATGTTTTTGCTGAAATCCAAGAAATGAAAACAAGAAAGTGCCCTTGTGGTACTGTTCTGAACCAGAAGATTTTAATTTCAGGGCCACTGGGAGAGTTTCCTCTGCACCCTTTTTAAAAAATGTCTTCAGGCCTAACCAGTGATAACATCTATTTTTATGAATGTTTTTCCTTCCGCAGTGTGGCCTTGGAGATATATTATCATATCAAGCAAAGGTGAGCTTTTTAAAAACCTGTCTTGTTATTGTAGCTAACTACTTTGCAAGCTGTCAAGCTCAGTGTTAGGTCACAGGTCTAGACATCATAAGCTGTATTGTGCCTACGAAAATATCAAGGCAAATTATTTGTGTTTTCTTTGGACCTTAAGACTCTCTTAAATCTTAAATGACTGGGAATCTCAAAGAGTATGTGTTTATATTGATTATATTGATATTTACTGTTGTAGAACTATAAAATTGAGATTTTTTTTTTCCAAATCTCTTTTTAGCTGAGTTTTCACAGCCTTACCACTGTTGATATCATAAACTAGATAATGCTTTGTCCTGTGCATTGCAGAAAGCTTAGCAGCATTAATGGCCTGTACCAACTAGATGTCAGTAGTAACCCATGACCTAAGTTTTGCTAACAGAAAGTATTCTTTGAGAACAATATTGTTAACATAAATTTTTTAATGAAAAAATAACTTTTTTCTCATGTATCAGGAAACTGGAAATAAAAAAAAGAAAAAACTTTTTTCAGCAGAAAGTTGAGTAAAAAGTATGTCAGGTATTTCTATTATTGAAAATCTCTAATGTGGAGCTTAGTAGAAGAAAGCTGAGTTCTCTAGCTCTTTCTTTGCCATTTGCTTTAAAGAATTTACTTTAAGATGGCTAGGCATGGTGGCATATGCCTGTAATCCCAGCACTTTTGGAGGCCGAGGCAGGCGGATCAGTTGAGGACAGGAGGTTGAGCCAGCCTGACCACCATGGGAAAACATGTCTCTACTAAAAATACAAAAAAATAGGTGGGTGTGGTGGTGCATTCCTGTAGTCCCAACTGCTAGGGAGGCTGAGGCAAGAGAATTGCTTGAACCCAGGAGGCAGAGGTTGCAGTGAGTGGAGATCGTGCCATTGCACCCCAGCCTGGGCGACAGAGTGAGACTGTCTCAAATTAAAAATAAAAAAAAGCATGAGGCAATAACATGACCTAACATGCAAATATGTAGTTGGTAAAAGGTGTATTTTTAAAGCTCTGAGACAGTTGTGGGTATTCATTAATGCTAAGTCAAAACTTCACAAGTGCTACTTTCTTAAATTAGTTACAGTGGCATTTTACATATTACTAAATTTATTCCATCAGTACTCACTCGTCTTTCTTGCACGGTAAATTGATCTTTTCCCTCATACTCGCATTTATAATTATGCATTAGTTATTTGGAATATGTTGGTTTATGTTTTATTTTGTCAAAAATCACTTTTAGTTTAACTGCCAATCTTATTTTAAAATATCTTTAAGTATTGAAAAGCTGTCAAGCTATAGTAGAAAGAACGAGTTTTTCAGAGTCCTCAGGAAAGCTTAAATTTTATCATTGGGAACAAATACTTATTTTCCTTGAAGGGACAACCTCATATCATTTATTTTTGAGAATGATAGTTGCCCTTTTTTTTTTTAGACCAAGTCTCACTCTGTCACTTGGCTGCAGTGCACAGGCACAATTTCAGCTCAAGCAGTCCTCTCACCTCAGGCTCCTGTGTAGCTGGAACCACAGACATGTGGCACCACACCTGGCTAATTTTTGTGTATTTTTGGTAGAGAGAGTTTCGCCATGTTGCCCAGGCTGGTCTTGAACTCCTGAAGGAGCTCAAGGGATCTGCCTGCTTTAGCCTCCCAAAGTGCTGTGATTTTACAGGCATGAGCCGCTGCACTGGCCCAGTTGTATTTTTACATAAAAATGATGTCCTGTGAAAAAAGTGATTGTTCAGCTCACAATTAAATCACGAATTCTTTTTTTTTTTTTTTTTTAAACACAACGGTACTACAGTCAGCAGAAGCACTTCTTGTTAACTTTCCACTGATTCAGAATATTAAAGCGACATGTCAAGATTTAGTAACACCATTTTTTACTGCTTCATCAAAGACATTCTTAAGTACTTCAGCCTATCTTTTTGAACTGTAATGGACAATAAAGGATAGAATGACTACTAGTGTAATTGGTACCACTGCCTTGATTTAGGCTGAGAAACCAGCAGTTTTACCCACTTTTGCTTCTATACAGTCATGGCAAGTGTCTATGAAAAAGCAGTGTCTTTGTATTACTTTCCTAATTAAAAAAGTTTTTTTATCAGCTTTCTCAGGTTGAATTAGTATGATTATCAGAACAGTGTCGGGTGGGCACGGTGGGTCAGGCCTGTAATCCCAACAATTTAGGAGGTCAGGCAGGTGCATCACCTGAGGTCAGGAGTTCAAGACCAGCCTGGTTAACATGGTGAAACCCCATTTCTACTAAAAATACAGAAATTAGCTGGGCATGGTGGTGGATGCCTGTAATCCCGGCTACTTGGGGGGCTGAGGCAGGAGAATCTCTTGAACCTGGGAGGTGGAGGTTTCAGTGAGCCAAGATTGCACCATTGCACTCCAGCCTGGGCAACAAGAGTGAAACCCTGTTTCAAAAAAAAAAAAGAAGGAAGGAAGGAAAAAAAAAAGAAAGGAAAACAAAGAAGGGAAGGGAGGGGAAGGGAAGGGAAAGGGAAAGGGAGGTGACCTCTTAGGCCTTCTGGAAAAGGGTCTTGGGGATCCCCAGAGGTCCACAGAGCACATTTGGAGAATCACTGGTTTATTACACAAGCACAATGCATTAGTTTTATGAAGTTTAAAGTTTGTCAAAGATTGACCTCTTTTAAAATAAGGCAGATGAGTTTTTAATTGAAACAACAGAAAATAAATACATCATGAGACTATGCTACAGAGAACTAAAGAGAAAGAACGTTAGAAAATCTGAATCACTTTTTGATTTATTAAAGTTCTAAAGACTTTATTGCCCACCACTACTGCTTCGTAAAATGTTCTTGTGTTTCAGTGTGTGGTTAGAAGAGTGAAAATATGTTTGGTTTGTTGTCATTGCTTGTTAAGGGTCAATACTTACAGACAGTTCTGTCTGGTTATCGTAAAAAAGAATTCATAGCACAGGACATGTGCTGAGGAAGAAGAGGTCGGGAAACCCTCTGCAGGCCAGGATCCAGGTGAAGAATTTGTAAAAAACTGTTTGCTTTGCTGAAGTAAGCACCAGAGCACATAGGAGGCATTATTTACTAAACAGATAGTTTACTAAGATATTTAACAGTTTTTGAAGTAATGCACATTCTTATTTTATAGAGATGCCGATAGAACTTTGGGCATCTTTGATGAACGGTTACACCCATTTACAGTAAGTGGCACTTTTACTGAAGTTGTATTTGCATCATAGACTGGCATTTGTTTCATGCTGAACTCAAAGTCATCTTTCTTTAAATCCTCTTCCCCATTTTGTGTTGCATTTAGTCATCTTAAGTGCTGTAAAAAGAATGTGCTGGAATAAGAACTGATCTGTAGCTCTCCAGTAAATGAGCTAGTATTAGTAAATATAATATCCAAATAACAGAAAATGTATCTTTTAAAAAGACAAAAGACAATTACATAAACTCATATTGCAACAAGCAATATGAGTATATGAAGTACTTTTCACACAGAAGCATGATTTTTATGAAGAGAGTTAAGAATAATTTAAGTTTAAATCAACTTACATGGTGTAAAAATTTAAAAATGTGCTTCCTCGGATACGTAATAGCCACATGTGGCTAGTAATTATTGTATTTAACACCGTAGGCTTAGAGCCTCATGGTTAAAGGAAACTGTGTTTTCTCAGTTTATTGCCGAGAAGAGTGACATATGGTTAGTAAGACATTAAAGCCTAAAAGTAACTTACATTTGGATGGAATTATGTGGGGGAAAGAGTAAAAAAGAACAATAATTTTCTGAGGTTAAGCTCATATTATTTTTAAGTGAATGTTGATGAGTATTAAATCATTATGGTATTTTAAGATTCCACTGTTCATATTGTAAAATCTAAAAGACATCTCACTACGGTGGGCACAAATGTGAACACTGCTGTCTTAAGAGCACTTTAGGTTTTTTCTTCAGTGGATACTTATATTGCATTTTTTCTTCTTTCAGCAAGAATGGCTTCTGGAGGAATACTTTAAGTATGATCCTGGACACAAATTGATTTTCACATTTCTTCGTACTCTATTTAAAGCCAAAAGGCTAACAGCTGACTTGGCAATCAGAAGTTTGGTGAGCTATTTTCTGTTTATAAAGCGTCGTTAGAAATTGGTCTTGTAGAGCAGACTGGCCAACATGGTTAAACCCTGTCTCTACTAAAAATACAAAAATTAGCCAGGCTTGCTGACATGCCCCTGTAGTCCCAGCTACTCAGGAGGCTGAGGTAGGAGAATTGCTTCAACTCAGGAGGCAGGGTTTGCCGTGACCAGAGATCAAGCCACTGTATTCCAGCCTGGATAACAGAGAGAAAAAAAAAAAAAAAAAAGAAAGGAAACAAAAGAAATTGATCTTGTAAACAGGGTGGCCTGGTCCTGTTTTTAAATAAAGATAGGTTTCTGAAATTATCTCAGAACTTTAAGAGAAACTTAAGAAAGCAAATATACGCATTGGAGTTGTCATCATCATCATGGCTTAAAATGTTGCCATTGCTTTTCTCATCACAGAACAATTGCTATTAAAGGCAGCAGGAGGGATTTCTGATTTCTCCCCCCACACTTCAGTGCACACATGCACACAGTGCACAGTGCACACACATCCAAGGCATGTGGAGGGCTTGGAATGGGGAGTAGTAACAAAACCATCTGGTTGATGGGCAGGAATAAGATGCCTATGTCTAAGCTGAGGCCCAGGCAGTATCCCCAGGCAATTCTGATGCATGTTGTGATTGAGAGCTGCTGCCTTCAATTCATTGTTCCTTGGATGTGCCTAATCTACCCCTGCTGGGCAGAGTAGGTAGCAGAAATATTTGATCTATGATTGTGATATGGTCCCTTGCTTGGCCTGGTCAAGCAAAGCCTTTGTAGAACATAAGAATAAAAGGCACTTACTTTCTGGTCAAAACCAGAAGTATTCTGGTTTTTCACAAAAGTTCTTATCACAGCACTTCAACCCAGCTAAGTCAAAGGCCAGTCCTCTGTTTTGCAGGTATACATCGAAAGACATAAGTTATGCCGATATCAACATTTGTCCAACCAACTGGAAAAGGATTGTCTTCGGAGCCACTCTTCTTGCCGTCAGGGTTGGGCACAATGTGGCTGTGTGCCATGAGCACTACTGCAAGCTCTTTGAGAACATTACAGTTGATGATATGTGAGTTTGAAGGTTTTTGTGAACTTTCTAACCATTTTTGAATATTTGCTCCCATAAACTTAAACACTTTAAGAAATATTTTTAAAGGTTACATTGTGCAGATAATAAGAATGGACATAAATACCACATGCTCTTTCTCCCCAGCTTTAGAACAACCATTCATATTTTTCACTGTTCATTGGTAGGTCTTGGTAAATTGCTGTTGTAAATAATCTCATAAATGGAAAAGTATATTTCTAGTGAATGTTTCTGGCAAATATCTTACCAGTGTACTACCAGAACATAATAGTACAGTAAATATCCTTATGGCTTTTTACAAGCTATCTGCAAGTTCCAGTCTCTTTGTAAGGAGCCTATGTCTGGCCTTTGAAATAATTGTTTGGTCATTGACAGGTCTTGGGTCTCTGCATTGTGAAGTATAGCTTCACCCTGACTTATACATTGTGTGTTTGCTTTTGCTGGTGTTCCCCCTGCTTTTATCTGAAGATCTGTCTTATAGAAACCTTGAGATACAGAATAGCCTCAGTTCCCTGTGCCCCTGTCCTCTCCCCATTAGGAGTGTTGCATCACTGGGCTGATGAGTTAGAAGTTCCAGTGTTCCCCTCAGGCAGTCTGAGAAACATTGCTGGGGCATCACCTAATGCTCACCACACTCAGGAGGTTCCTGGGGTTCTCATGCAACCACAGCAGCACTTGGGAGGGTCCCGAGTTACCTAGGAGAGTGCAAGAAATCTTGCTGAGTCATGGGGTTGCTCACAGATGGCACCAACATGCCCCTGAAACAGGAGCCTCATGGGTCTTTCTTCCAGTCTGGCCTGATGACTGCTGTAAAGGGAAGGTCTTTGGAGCTGATTGTCAGGGTGAGCCAGGGAGGCATTTCCAGCAGAGGCTCACGCAGTGTCCACTAGACAGCAAGAATGGCTTTGTAGATGACACTTAGGAAAATCTGAAGGAACACCT